AGGGGGTCTAAAATGCTGAAAAGTTCGTTACGTGATTTCAGGAATAAATAAGAAAAACAAATTGAGGAGGCGAGAGACGTCATGCGGCGTCGAACTCCTCGCCGTCACACACCCGTCAAAACCCCATCCCCTGCAGTGCGTGACGCAACACACAAACAGCCGAAATAAAAGTGAAACGGAAAGCAAATCCCGCGAAAAACAAGAAAAAATCAATATTATTCTGACCAACCAACCAAATCGTGCGTGCGGAAACGAAAATTTCGCGGAAAAATCCGAGGAATTCCTGGCGACTTGGCACCATCGTCGGTAGACAATATAAGCGCGGGCGGCCCTCCGCATTGAAGTGAAGAATTTGGCGAGGAGGGATTTCTGCCAAGAATGATAATTCCGGGACTCGGCGAAAGCGGGAAGGTAAGACGCGAAGGAACCGGGTGGGAGTGGGAGGGAGCGCAAACAGACGGGGGTCTTGAGTGGCAGAAAACCAAAACAAATAAGGGAGAGAGGAAGAAGAAGAAGCTACACCGTGGGCGGGAGCGGTGGGGATCGGATGAAAGAAAACCGGGCGCGACCAAATGAAAACAAATATTAACAAAATAGTTCCGATGAGAGACATTACTTGACCTAGAAGAAGGCAGACAGGGAGCAGTCGTGAAAAATCGTTCTGGAAATGCGGGATGCCATATGCAAGAGATCAAAATTTGGAAAATGGAGTTTCTGGCATATTCTATGAGGTGGGTTTTAAAAATTCCCGATTTCTTCCTAACTTTCCGACCAAAGAATATCCTTACTTCTCCCTGAGATCTTCAGGATTTAGAGCTGAAAAATGTCTTCTACAAGGCATATCTGATGCAACAATATTAAGCTCTACTTATAGACAAGGATTCGATTAGAAACGGTCAACATTTAGAGAAAAAAAAGAGGATTTGATCTTTAATGAAATTTCCTGACTATTCTAGGTTTTACTCTTATTTAGAAGAGAGTGTCAGTTGTATTCGTAAGAGATTTTAATGTTTGTTATGAGTTTTGGAGTTTTATAACATTCGACAAGGGGGACAAACCTGACGTTTGGAAAAGAATTTGTTCACGGTTCTCACACACGAAAGCATCGAGAAAACCTTGTTGAAAGTTTGGATCTATCGAGAGGAGGTCCATGAGGTCGATGCCAGATGCGAAATCTCAGGTTGAACCGCAAAAAAGATTGATTTTCAGCTATTTTGGGCTCAGAGCCATGTTAAGACCCCTGTTTTGGAGCCGACAAAATGTGAGTATCGGCAAAATCCGACTATTCCTGTTAAATATGCATTGTCAATTACCAAATATCCAAAAATTTCCATGTCCAATTTCAATTCCATGCAAGGAGGGGCTGATTTCGGTCCAAATTGCAACCCCTCATTTTCCGATTGCAATCATTCTCTTAAAAATGAGATTCGGTGTCAATAGAAACTGGACATGTTATTATTAAAAATTCGACATGTTATCATTAGCGCCATCGTCTTACAATCAATCAAGCTACAATGATGATCATTTCCGAGTGATTATACGAATCGCTTTTGGCAGGGCCAACTTCTCGTTGAAGTGAAAGGATAATTTCAAGATCCTAACCGAACGAACCATACATAGCGGAAAAATTTGCGAGAGGGAAAAGCTTTCTTGAGAGATTTCACGAGAAAGAAATCGCATTTTCCGTCGGATGGGTTTAGGAGCCTAAGTTTCTTACAAAGACTGCTCCGCCACGTTTGATTTCCAGGAAACTCGCTCGCGGGATGACGAATTCATCAAACATTCTTCCTCGGGTTCCAGACGTGCTCCTGTATGATGAAAGAACCGAAGAAAATAATAAAACGCGTGACGGCATGGGAAAACCAATCATGAAATCTGAGAACTAGAAAAATTCGCATTTCCTTTGATGCACTTCCAATAATGCACTTTACTTCCGGGAGGAGGAAATGTGTTCACCTTTGATGGTTGTTAAGGATACACGCGTGTTCACACTTTGAAGGCATTTCCAATAAGTTGTTCAAGGCTGCCTTGAGAAGATGGATCGTTAAGAATCTGATTATTGGCTGAAATGTTTTCATAGGAGCCTCACCTGTGAAAATTTGTCGTCAGAAATGAGTTTACAAGCGCTGGTGTACTGAACGTCTACATCTATGTACGTTCAAATGAAAAGCTTAAGGTTTGTGAGGACAGCAGATAAAATACTTCGCCAATCCTAACAGCTTTCATACGAATCCCCCGAGTTATTTATGTAATTACTTACCAGTGGTGTGGCGTGAATTGCGATGTATCGATTGTTATGCCATTTATACCTATGAAAAAGGATCAAACAGGGTGTTCGCAGTGAACACCTTAATAATCGATTCTTTACCATACGTTTAAATGGCATAGTAATCGATACATCGCAATCCACGCCACGCCACTGTTACTTACATCTTAAAGACGAGCGGATTAGTTAAAGCGTTTGCTGGAATGGACTGAAAATGAACCGATTATCCTTCCTGATTTTACGTCGTAAAGGGAATGATATTTTTTGACACCTTCAAATTCATTAAAACTTTTTCCGACGGAAAATTGAAAGTTGAAAAATCCCCCCCACCTGCTGCGTTTCGGACAAAGTTGCGAGATCATGCGATAAAATGTGGATAATTTGCAAGGGGTTGAATGGCGGAAAGTTCTGATTTCTCAGCACTATCTGGCAACGACGAATTGAGATCTTGCAATTTACTCGTGCTCAAACTTACGAGGTTCTTTAAGTTTACGTATGAACTTTTTCTTCCAGCATGAAGGAAACTACTGAGAGGGTGTCGTTAAAATTTAATGAAAAAGGAATGAAAGTAAAGTTTATAGGTAGACTGGACGAGAAAACAGCAATTTGACTGCAGAAATGTGAGGTCCGTAGGATGAAAAGATATTTATCATTGAATGTACTCTTGTACTCTTGTACAACGTACTCTTTCTCTCAACGGACGTCACTCCCAGGTTGTGACTTGTGAGTGGCTGGCGCATTGAACTATTTGTAGTACCATTACCATTACCACACGTTTAGGTTACTTTTATTGACGCAAAATGTGCGTTACTTTTCCTCACCGTGTAAAGTTAGTCATAATTTTCTCCCTCAACCTATGACAACCACTCGTTACATAGATGGATTCTAGTGAATACTTCGAATGAAGGTCCGGAAGGGGAGGTTCAGGGGGTTTCCCCAGAAATTTTCAAAATTGAAAGGCATCTGCTGCGCAGATTAAGTCAAATTAGAAGAATTAATAACGGAATTAATTAAAGCGTACACTGTAGTAAATGCGCAATGCGTGAAATATTACTACAGTCTTGTAGGCGCCAATAAGCTTTTCGAACCGACCAGCGACCGCATTGTGTTACGCGCAATGCGTGAAGTATTCCTCTCTCTTGCAGGCGCTAATGTGCTGTTCGCGCCATGCGTGAAGTATTCCCGCACTCTTGTAGGCGCTAATATTTGTCTGGCCGTGACGGACAGCCGATTTTGGTAAACTTTTGCTATGTTATTCTGATGGCCTATTGCAACTTGTTCCCGCAAGGAAACTTACATTGATTTTCCCAGACAAATGAAAGAATAAAAATGTAAGAGAACAAAATCTTCTGTCAATAAAGTCTTTCGTCTTCATTCCTCTTCCTCCTTTATTTCGGGCGAACGAAGAGGGTCCTAAACACCCCCCCCCCCCTAATTGAGCATTTCAACCTATAAGATCGCTCCATTGATCTTTGGCCTTCTTTGTCTACAGTTTAGTCTAACAATTTCAATAATTGGTCTGCAGTATTCTCTAGTTTTCCCTAATTTTCGGAACTTATGGAGATATAACGCAGTGTTTAAACACGCCAATACAAGGATCCAAAACGACACAGCAGACAATGCGCCTTGATCTTATTTTTCTATAGATTTGTCTATCAATTTAAAAAAACAGCCTGCAGTTTCCTCTAGTTTCGCCTAATTTTTGCAACTTACGGAGGTAAAACGCAGTGTTTAAAGCCCTCAATACAAGGATTCAAAACTACATAGTGGAAGATGCGTCTAGGTCTTCTTTGTCTACAGCTTTGTCTATCAATTTCAATAATCAGCCTGCAGATTTCCCTAGTTTTTCTTAATTTTTGCAACTTACGAAGATATAATGCAGTGTTTAAAGCCCCAACACAAGGACCCAAAACCACACAGCAGACGACGCACCCTGGTCTTATTTGTCTGTAGCTTTTCTCTATCAATTTAAATGATCAACCTGCAGTTTTCTCTACTCTGGAAAAAAACACATTGGATCTAGAGTCCAGACTCTTAAAAACATCGACAAGAAAAAATACTCTTGATTCAATCGGATTTTTGCTTAAATCAAGAACCAAGACTCTGAATTTGAGCGGATTTCCTTTTGATCTAAGCAAAAATCTGATTCAATCAAGAGTATCTTTTCTTGTCGATATTTTCAAGAGTCTGGACTCTAGATCCTATGTGTTTTTTTTCCAGTGTACATTTCCCTAATTTTCGTCGCTAAAGGAAGTATGACACAGTGTTTAAAGCCCCCAATACAAGGATTCAAAACTACACGGCGAAAGATGCGCCTAGGTCCTCTTTGTCTATCAATTTCAATGATCAGCCTGCAGATGTCCCTAGTATTTCTTAATTTTTGCAACTTACGAAGGTATAACGCAGTGTTTAAATCCCCAACGCAAGAACCCAAAACCAAACAGGAGACGATGCGGCGATGCGCCCTCTCGGGGGGTGGCTTTCGCCGGGGGGCGGCGGAAGGAGTCGAGTTAAGCGCGGAGGAAACGAGCTCGGCTGGCGACAAAAGACCGGAGCCGCGTGGCGTGGCGTCGGGGGAAATATTTGTCTAGTCGGTTATCGGAAAAGGGAAATGATAAGTTGGCAAACATTGAAATTGAAAATAACTACACTCGGGGACCGGGGAAGAATTGGAAGCGGGAGCCCGTAGCGCAGGTAACAGCTGTTGGAGTGTAGTTGATTAAAATTCGTCGGTGCAAGAGGCGCGATGCGCCGCGTCGGGGGCGGGCGGCGGGGGGAGTAATTTTAGCTTGTCGCCCGCGCCGCAGCCCGCCGAGCCGAGAGTCCCGAATCCGAAATCGTGTCCCGTGCCCCCATCGCCGTGGCCCTTGAGTGCGTCCCGCTCGCGTTTTTCTGTGTTCTTCTCGCCGCCGGATTTAACACTTTTCCCGCCAAAATGGTTGCCATGGTGAGTTCCGCCAAACAATTTGTACATACCAAACGATTCCTCCTCTCCTCCGAAAAATTGGGATTACCCTCTTGATTCGTCAGGGTGCCGAGTAAAATTGAATTTTGGATAATCCTCATTTTTCCTGATATTTTAGGCGAGATTTCTTGATGTTTTGCGCAGAAAAATTGACACTTGTTACATTTAAAAACCAACATATTTAATTAAATTAATCAAAATTGTTGAATATGCTAGAAGAATGCACTCAGAATTTCATGATCCACGGCCCTTTTTTCTCACCTCCGGATTTAACTCTTTTCCCTCCAAAATGGTTGCCATGGTGAGTTCCCATTGGATACTAAACAATTCCTCCTCTCCTTCGGAAAAATTGGGATTTTCCTTACGTTATTTGTCAGGGTGTCTACTAAAGTTAAATCTTGGATTTTTCTGATATTTTCCCGATTTTCCCTGATATTTTGGACGAGATCTCCTGATTTTTTGCGCGAAAAAATTTACCTTTGTCTCAATTAACAAAAATCAACATAATTATTGAACAAAATTTTTAGAAAATGCTTGAAGCACTATTTCCTGATCCATGACCGATTTTTCTCGCCGCCAGATTTAACACTTTTCCCGCCAAAATGGTTGCCATGGTGAGTTTCGATTAGATACTAAACAATTCCTCCTCTCCTTCGGAAAAATTGGGATTTTTCTTACGTCATTTGTCAGGGTGTCTACTAAAGTTAAATGTTGGATTTGTCTGATATTTTCCTGATTTTCCCTGATATTTTGGACGAGATCTCCTGATTTTTTGCGCGAAAAAATTGAGCTTTGTCTCAATTAAAAAAGCAACATAGTTATCGAACAAAATTTGTAGAAAATGCTTGAAGCACTATTTCCTGATCCATGATTGATTTTTCTCGACGCCAGATTTTACAATTTTCCCGCCAAAATGGTTGCCATGGTGAGTTACGCTTTCATACCTAACAATCCCTCCTCTCCTTCGAAAAAATTGGGATTTTCCAACTTCATTCGTCAGGGCATCTACTAAAATTGAATTTTAAATTTTCCTGATTTTTCCTGATATTTAAGTCGAGATTTCCTGTTTGTTTGCGCGAAAAAATTGGCAACCGTTCGCTCAAAAAAATTAAAAATCAAAATGTTTGAAAAATGCTCGAAACACTCAGAATTTCCTGATTCATGACCTTTTCTCATCGCCGCCGGATTTAACCCTTTTCCCGCCAAAATAATTGTCATGGTGAGTTCCGCGTCCATACCGCACAATTCCTCCTCTCTTTCGAAAATCGGATTTTTCCTTCTTCATTTGGCAGAAAGAATAGGGAGGGAACAAAGACATGGTAAACAAAGCTAAAAACATCAGAAACACTAAAAGGCGGGACGTTTCAACGTTTGAGACGTTGAGCTATTACCAGCTCATTTACGGCTGCAAAAACACGAAAAAATAGATAAAAAAATAGTGGAAACCTGATCCCAACCGTTATCGCGTAACCACGTTTGTGAGGGTGTCTATTGAAATTAAATTTGGGATAATCCTAATTTTTCCTGATATTTTAAATGAGATCTCCTGATTTTTTGCGCGAAAAAAATGACACTTGTGTAATTTAAAAAATCAAGATAATTACTAATCAAAATGTATGAAAAGGGCTCGAAGCCGTCAGAATTTCCTGCTTCATGATCAATTTTTCTCGCCGCCGGATTTAACACTTTTTCCGCCGAAATGGTTGCCACGATGAGTTTCGCTTCGAAACAATGCCTCCTCTCCTTCGAAGAAACTAATTTTTCCTTCTCCATTTATCAGGGTGTCTATTAAAATTGAATGTGGGATAATCCTGATTTTTCTTGATATTTTGGACGAGACCTCTTGATTTTTTGCGCGAAAAAATTGACATTTGTTTAATTTAAAAAATCGACATAATTATTAATCAAAATGTTAAAAGAAATGCTTGAAGCACAATTGCCTGACCCATGCCCAATTTTCCTCTTATTTTCTTGATTTTTCCAAATAATATGGAATTCCCTGACGATTTCTGGTTTCTGCGGATGGTAGAAATTATGTTAGTGACCGTCCGCGGGAAATGGTATCTAAGTTTGCAAGAACTCAAAATTGAGTGAGGTTCGCTTTCCAGTGAAGGGAATCAACGTCGTCACAATGTTTTTAAAGTTGAGAAAAGTCTTTGTTGCTTGAAAAAATACCGAATATGTGTGCAGACATAAAATTTACCCGATCGTTTTACTTCAAATTGAGCATAGTTTTGGTAAATAAACAAGAACTATTTCACTCTACGCATTTTTGGGGATAAAGAAAAGAGCAGAATAAATTCTGTGCGATACTATTGACCTTTTTCTATCCAAAAGTCAAATTCCGATTTTTTTAATCCAGTCAGTACAAATTGCTCTGATGAACACTTTGCCTCCTAGACTGAGGTTCGTTTCCCGGTTGACTCCATAGATCGATGGCTAGACGCTAGAGTCGAAAAAGCACATCTCCGTTGGAATGTTAAAAAGTCACCAGTCAAAACTGAAATACATCCTCGAAATTTCTGGGAATCTGGTCGGATAAGTAAAAACACTTCATAAAAAAGTCTAGAGCTATGACATGGTATTTTGTTAAAACCTGGGAGAATAAGTCCTTAGTTTTAATTATTGGAGGTGCGCATTTTCGATCTTCAACTGTTTATATGTTTACAAAAATAATTTAAAAAACTAGTTACCTGCATATTTTATTTTCCTTTAAACTCCAAGGAAGAAACCAAGATTTCGATATGAAATATGAAATATCGATAACATGTTAATATTGTGTTATTCATTAATGTATGAATCGTAATGATTGTCTAACAATAAACTTGAGGAGAATATTGCCCGTACTTAAATTAATTTACTTCAATTCATTTTTAAAATCCCCTTTCGACGCTGACGGTCTGTTCCTGAGAGAATCGTCAGGGAACACCGACCTGCTTTCGGTTTTAACCGATCCATCAACGGAAGACTTAAGCTATTGTAACCGGCTGCTTTTAAGGCTCAGGGATTGCGGAACCCATTAGAGAGGAAACGGGATTAACAACGGGGAATTAGCAATTTTTGTGAAGTTGAAACGCGGACCAAGGTAACGGTAATTGTTTTTTCCTGCGGATCGGGAATGGTTGGAGCTTTTATGTTCCCGCGATCAACGTGAAGTGTTAACAGCACTCGAGCATTCGCTGGTCCGACCGTTCGCGAGCGCCAAATTTCCATTGTATCCCGGTTAATTTCGGGGGGATTTCCAGGGATCGGGTGGAGGTCAGGGCAGCTTTTCGGGATACCGGAATGCGGAAATGCCCCGGTCCACGGAGAGATTTGCAGTTTCCTCCGACTATTAGCGGAATTGCTTGCGGTGGCTTCGATACGGTTTTATGCGCATCTTTTGAATTGGCAATTTGTTAAATGAACCCGACTACCCAGAGAGGAGCAAAGTCGAGGCTTGTTTTTCTCAGGATGTAATCAATTATTCAATACACGTACCTCCGAGAATTTCGCTCCTGCATCATTACTTTCCAAAAATTAAAAAATTAAAAGTTATTTACGATTTTTCTCGAAATTTAGTACGACATTTCTTTAACTAATAAAAATTAGGTATTCGTGAAAATTTTTGGGTAGATATTAGGTTAGCTCCCTTTAAAACAACAACAAATAAAACCATTGTCGAACATGTTAAAACGACGTAATTCAAATATATTTTTTTTTTAAATTTAACCACCGAAGTTTAAACAGAACTTAAGCTACTGTGGACTCATGTTTGGACGCCACGCTCAACGGATCTACGAATAAAGTAATAAAATGAAAATGAACTATGTGAGTATATAGGATTGGCGTGCTTTATAGCACCTTTGGATTTAAAACAAAAACACAAAGTTCCTTTCAGCACAAATACGTCGTTCCTTTTATTTTTAAGCAAGAAAAAACTGAGAACTAGCCACATCGACCAGTCTCGATTCTCAACAAGGAATTGATTAACTTCATTTATGTTCAAAACAATGTTATATTTACATACTTCTAAAAGAATCTACGGTCCACCATTAACATTGTATCGTAGTTTTTTTATGACAGAACCCATCCGCAGCGCTTCAATCTTACAAGGTGATAAACTGGAGTCAAAGGAGGCTCATGATTCGATTACATGCATCGAGAATATAATGCCTTCAGAGGCGTTTTTTGAAAGATGGCAACAGTATTATATCCTTCATTTCAATTCATTATAAAAAATCGATTCTGAGTGAGAACACCTGCTTTGATAAATGAAGATTAGCGATGTATATTTCTAAATAGATGCCACATTCAGCGATCTCCTCTGAAAGCTTTACGGGCATACGTTGATAAAAACTCATTCTAATGTGAAGGTACGACTCTTTTTTTGTTGCAGGAAGATTTGGACAAGGATCAAATAGCATGTAAGTATTCACGTATGCTACTTTTAAGTGCGATTAAATGATGCGTGCCTTAATAAATTACATGGGAACCATCGATTAATGACCGTGTGGAATAGTTAAATGGGCCAGAAAGTGTTTAAGTTCTATAAATTCACCCAAGTTGAGAAAAGCCGTTTCCTTGAAATGGAGAAAACGTGAAATACTGACTGAAATAAAATGATTCGAAGAAAAATAGAGAAGTTAAAAATCTTAACTTCTTTTATGTTTGAAAGTCAAGTCATGACAGGAACTGTGCCGGCAACGCACAATCGTAGAATTTCAGCACTTACCTGAAACAGACAAATGAAACCCAAGATTAGGAATGAAAAGCAAAATTGAAAAAAATGAAAGAATAATTAAATTATTTATAAAGTAAGTATACTCCCGGGTAGATCATGGCTCATAGAATCATGTGATTTAGGTCTTTATTTCGTCTACAAAACTACCTTTTCATTTCATGGACGGTGATCATCAACTTTTTAGACACTACAATACACAAAAATAGCCCGAATAATTTACCAAAAACAGACACAATAATGCATAAACAGGGCTTAAAAAACATCAAAATGCCTAGGACATTCAACGGTTGTGTCTCCCTTGTCAACTAGGAGCAAAGAAGCGAAACATAAAATTAACCCAAAGGGTGTTAACACCAACATGATAATCCAGATTCTTTGCATAATTTTTACATTTTTAGCTAGTTTACAAGGGGGCTAGTTTCACCCCGAAACGTTCAAGGCATTTTTAAGTTCGATTTGGCCTCGTTCAACAATTGTCTTGTTTTTGTTTTCGCCAACTTCTGCTCAGTATAAATTCCAATTTAATTCGTGAACTGAAGCTATCTTGCATCAATTATATTTATGCTTTGCTTAAATAAATACGGCGATATGAAAATATGCAGGTTTTAAACTCTGTGATGCAAATTTCGACTAACAGTGGAAGTACAATTTAACTTTTCGCGTTATTTTTTTGAAAAACTCACCACTTTCACTTGTAGCTAACCGTAAACTTGTAGCTACGTGTGACAGTGGTGAATTTTTTTTTAAAAAAATGACGCAAAAAGTTTAAAACCTGTCCCAGAAATTAACGCCGTCAGTAATCATTAGAATTCCCTTCATTTAATCAGTTTAAATTAATGAAATTCGTTCATTTTTCCTCTCTTTCACATTTAGTGCTCAAAAGGGCGTTCGATGCGTTCGCCCAGGGCAAGGGCTACATCGAGGCCAACACAGTGGGCACAATCCTGCAGATGTTGGGTCATGAGGTCTCCGAGGAGAGGCTCAAGGAAATTATCGCAGAAGTCGATGCTGATGGTGAGTTGATGCAGGAATATTTCGATCTAAATTTGGACCGAATTATGCAATCAGGAACTAAAATTTCTGGCTCGTTCATAAAAACACTTAAGTGCATGGGGAAATTAAAGGTACATAAGTTGCTTCTAAATTGAGCCAGAAATTGTAGTTCCAAAATAACAGAAATAATGGCCGACAGGATGGATTGATAAGCTTTCGAAAACCTTCAGTGGAAGGGATTTCGCTTCGCAATGACAATGGTTTGTGTTGTCAGTCATAATTGATCGAAAAAATTCGGCTCATAAAAATTTGCGACCAGAATAAAAATTACTGCAACTTGAGTAGCTTTGACAAAAATCAGCTTCATTGTTTTGCGACAGAAAATCAAATAACATTCTTCTAACTTGAAATTATATGCTACCATGCTGGAAGTATTTTACGGGGAATTCCAATGCATTACGTTGCTTATAGAAAAATGAAACAGGAGAGAAAATTAGGCAACGAATGACGTATTTGAACTGATTTTTTTGTAAATGGCGTTTACTTTTATGCTAGCAACTTGATATTGTTTTGTCAAGCGATATTGAGCACGTTCATCAATCTACCTTAGCAGTTAGAGATCTAGCGATAACTTTACGGATTCAGTTGTGAGCATAATTTATTGGATCGGATTTCAGGATCCGGGGAGCTGGAATTCGAAGAGTTCGTGACACTTGCTGCCGGATTTTTGACGGAGGAAGAAGCTGAGGATGCGGAAGCAATGCAAGCGGAATTAAAGGAAGCTTTCCGACTTTACGACAAAGAGGGTAACTTAATCGCTTTTTAATAGACCGTAGGAGCCATGACTTTTCCTCGTAACTGTCTTGCGCTCGAGTCATCTCTAAGCTCTTCTGAGCTCTCCATATACCTACACTGTTGTGCTAAGGAACAACGGCGTAAGAACATTCGAGAGTTGCCAAATCTCCTCTCATGAAATGTTTACTTTTGAGGAAAATTATGAATATATTTCCTTAAAATTTTCAAGAGCTTTAGATTAAAATACGAAATAAATTCTCTGAAAAATCAGAAGAAAAATATTTGTAAGTTCACCAGGGAATTTGTGTTTTATCAAAAGAAATTTGTCAACTTCTGAAGGTTCATACGGCGTTTTTCCTTAGCACGGCAATATACTGCCGTGATATAGAACAACGCCGTATACGCACTCGAATATTGCCGAATCTCATCTGATAAAATGCGAATTTTTGGAGTATCTTCAGATCGATTGCTTTTACTTATTCAGATAGTACATATGTTATTCCCAATTTGATTAAACGAATTTGAAAATCCTGGGATAAATTGGACTTAATTTTCTTTCGAAATGAATATTTGATCGGGGGAAATTTGACAACAATCGAATTTTCATACGGTGTTTTTCCTCAGCGGAGCAGTGCAGACGGCTAAGTAAAATATGAAGATTTAAATTAACAGAGCCAAGAAGATATAATTCAATATTAATTAACGCTAATGCTGGGTTTGACGTCTTAATTAAAACGAATCACATTGTCTCTGATTTACCAACGTTAGAACGGTAACGCCTCCTTGTATTCTTGAAAGGTGTAGTATTCTTTCCTTGGAAATGGAGAGGAAAAAAATCTGTTAGCTCGTAAAAGCGAATAGACCACTAGGCATAGTCAGAAATAAGCCGAACCCCCGTGGACGGTCATAAATGGACTACGTTTGGCAAAAAGGAACAATAATTTCTGGCTTATCCGTAAAACCGCTTGTGTGCAAGGGGAAATTAATAGTACATACGTTGTTTCTAAACTATAATAGAGTTTATAATTCATTTTGGCTTAAATGTAGTGCCAATGAACTACGATAATGAAGGTATCAGTTGGATAATATTTTGCAATAAGGAACCTCTATTATTAGCTCATTGTTAGAAGCACATATGTGCATCGGGAATGTGATGACACATAAGTTGTTTTCTAGAATGAGCGTATAATGTTCCTCCCTTCAAAATGCAGAACCTACCTAGAGTTGAAACTTAAAAAGAACCGTGCCGCAAACAAAACGCAGTGCATTTATCAACATTCATCTGATACCACTATTCGAGCTCCTAGGTACCCGCTTTTGCCTACCTCATGAGATGAAGGCGAATAAATTTCGATTCATTTCTGTAGAATGAGTGTCCGTTGGATCGGTTGCGTTTGTCTTAGCTGTCGTTCTCTCTTACTTCCGGCAGTTCCCTTTGAAAACTGGTTTTAATTTACACTTCTCCGACTAATTGAGCCAACAAACTTCTTGAGACTTTCCCTGATTTTACTGATAAATTGCCTTACTTTCCTTGACTTTTTCAGGTCGCCGAAAATTTCCTAACTTTCATAATTTTCTTAGGCGCCAAAAACCATGTATTTGAGACCCCGGGTAATAAGATTTCTTGGACTTCCTTGACTTTCATGATTTTTCACGGTTCTTGAATATAAAATCCCCCAAATTATCCCATAACTTTTCATTGTTCTTACCCCTTGTAGGGAGTAAGGGAGAAAAAAGAAAAAATTTCGCGGAATCTTTCGAAAATTGAAAAATCTACAATTCGAGGACTCAAATAAAACAATTAAGTTTTGATTTTCCTCGAGACGACTTGTGAGAGCAGGAAAAGATTATTTTAATTATTTCTTTTGGTCATGAGTTTCTAGTCTTATAATCTGAGCTTTTAATAAATACATTAAGTAACGGAAAGTTGCTTGAAATTGAAAAAACCAATAGTCAAGAACTTAAAAAGCAGAGGTCCTGCATTTCGCGGACGGAACTTGTCAGTTTGGTAGAAAAAAATAAATTTTTTTGGCCGGAGGCCACAATTTCCCAGGTTCCACGATAGCATTCTATGAACTTTCAAGGTTGGGTAACATCTCCTGACTTTTCCAGATTTTCATTGGGGTTTCGAGAATTTGTCACGCTGGAAGACACACTTTCTCTGGTTTCACAGCGGCATTCTATATGAATTCTCTAAGTTGAGCAACATTTCCTGACTTTTCCAGATTTTCATTGCGGTTTCGAGAATTTGTGACCCTGGAAGCCTTAATATTCCAGGTTTCATGGCGCCATTCTCTGCAATTTCAAGGTTGGGCAGAATCCCCTGACTTTACAAGATTTTGAATGAGGTTTCGAGAATTTGTCACGCTGGAATCCTTAATTTTCTAGGTTCCAAGACGTCATTCTCTGAAATTTCAAGGTTGGGCATCATCTCCTGATTTTTCCAGATTTTCATGGAGGCTTCGAGAATTTGTGACGCTGGATTTTCCGGGTCCCACAGTGGCATTCTCTGAATTTTCAAGGTTAGGCAGAATCCCCTGACTTTTCTAGCTTTTAAATGAGGTTTCAAGAATTTGCCAAGCTGGAGGCCTCAATTTTCCGGATTTTCCGGGCCGGTAGCGGCTCTGTCCCGGTTTATTTGTGGACGGACACGAGTCCCGTTATTACCGGGGTCGTAAGTTGGGTGCTCACGAGTTACGAGTCGGTTTCCGGGGAGGCGGCATTTGTCCGTCGGGAAAAAAGTCACTAAATACAAATTACGGGCGGGGAGAGTGGTAGCGCGAGACGCGGAAATCGGACTTTACTGCTCCCGGGCTCGGACGGTAATTAAAACTCGCCGAGCATAATTAAACTCGCGAGTTTTCCCGCGCCCCGACATTTTTCCACCCAAGCGCACATGGGTCTTTACGGCCGCCGCCCGAGCAAGAGTCGGGGAGTCGGGATGTTGCAAAGTCTTACTCGAGCTAGAAGATGAGGTGCTCCGTATGATACATATTTTAAGGTAAATAACGCGGGGCATTGTTTACGCAGTTCTGATGCCGCTTTTACACGGTTGCAATAATTCTTTTATCTTCAAATTCATTGACTTCTCCCTCACTATTAGTTGCTATCCACTGACAACTATCAATTTTCTTAAACACCAAAATTTCCAAAAAATTCATTTGAAGGAGCAGAAAATCCACAGGCAGGGTGTCTACTAAAATAGGCTGGCCAAAACTCAGTACTTTTACAGTACTTTTTGGTACATTCCCAATAACTTTAGTGCTTTTACAGTGCTTTTTTGGTACATTCCCAAGAAATGTAGTACTTGTACAGTAGTTTTTAGGTACATTCCCAAGAAATGTGGTACTTTTTCAGTACCTCCATTTGACAAAATTCGAAAAATTTCAAAAATTAAATTTCTCGCTCAGATTGCGACAAAAATGACAAAAATTCCGAACCTTTTTGCGGAGTTTCCACAATTTATCAGTACTTCCGGACCGCCCTTAAAAAATTAGTACAATTTCCGGGCTTGTAGACACTCTGCTAGAAAATCTAAAAAATTGAGGGTATGCGTTTGGTCCCGACCTAGAACCACGTATCTCAACTGAAAGGTTTCTGAAGTTCGGGGACTTCTTTCTCTCCTTCAAAGAGAAACGAAACGGGTTTCAGGATTTATGTTTTTAAAGGATGAATATAGAGTGGTGAGGAAAGCATTACGAAAAAATGCAACCGACCGATGCGAGTTGGTGCAACCATGAAAGTGATGAAAGGACTCGTTTTGGGATTAAGAAAACCCGAAGACGAGTTTAAACCCCACTTTTGTGATTGCAACCAACTCCGAAAAAAAAAAAAAAAAAAAAAAAAAAACTTAAGACTGGAAAAATGGACATTGGCGGTTTTCGCACGGCCCGGTTCTGTTAGGAGGTACAATTTCTGGCTCAGTTTAGAAACCAGGTATGCATTATCAATTTCCTCATGCGGATAATTGTTTTTACGGATGAGCTAGAAACTGCGGTTCCGATTTGCAAAATGCAGTTCAAATGAACTTTGGCGACGACGCGGCGGGGGACTAGCGCAGTCCGTGCGGCTATCGGCACGGGCAGACATTAATAATTTCTGTTAATTTCTAAATGTAACACAGCGCGGGACAACGAGGCACTGTCCGACGGCAGCGTATTTTGGAGTCCAAGAGAAGTCGCCCGTTTCCCCTTTTTTTGTCATGATTTTTCCCATTTCCGCGGCCTTTCCTGGAGATAAAATTCCTTTCGGCTAGCCTATTTTATCGAGGCAAAAGAGTCTCAACGATAGAAACAGAAACGATTACGTACGCGTACATCCGTCAGGACATTATAGCGAATTGCTGAATTTGCTGCCGACGTGTCTTGTTTGATGATTTTATCCTTAAAACAACTTGACTTCAATATAAAATATTTAAAATTTTGATTTCAAATTCAGACCTTGATGACTTTCTCGAGGACGTAAATGACACGCGCCGATGTACAATTCTGAAGACAGAACATGAAATGGCGAGTGCTATAGTTCGTAACTTATCTGATTCCTCATTGCCAATTTGCTATTACCATGATCGCAAAAAAAATCGGCTACATCGCAATCGTTGTGTTTATATTTACGTTTTCCTTTCGTTGATAAAGACCATGATGCTTCCTCACGATTAACGCGCGGAAGCGTCACATATGTTGAATATTGCGTAGCATCCAAGTGCGCGAGGGTTAGATAGAAATAATTTTCTTACCAAATGTTCACCTGTGTCGTAGTATCGTTTTTAAAGCGGAAAGCTTTAAAAAACGCATATTCCTAACGGAGATTGTGCAGTATTTTTCAGACTTTTCCGTTGTGCTCATTGTGATTTTTGCAGCATTTTCTATAAGAAACAACTCTTATAGCTCTAGTTGAAGTTTGCAACAGGCTCCTTTTAAACTTGTTACGACACAACTTCACAATTTTGGTCCTTGGAGTAATTTTTTTTTAACTGCAAGATCTATTTTTTTGCGACTGATCGTGTAAAAAA